GCATCGTTGCGACGGAGCCGCCGGCCGTACTCGCCGCAGCCGTCATCTCCGTCCCGATCTTGCCGATGCTGCCGCCAGGGGCGCATCTCCTCCTCGTCCTCTCCCCTGTCGTGCGTGAGTCCCTCTCTTGCCCTTCCTGAACCCTGTTAAAACAACGTCAAAGAAAAGAAAGAGGGTGATGAGGGCGTCGTTGCCACTCCCGACGCGCCGGCCAAGATTGGGCAGCTTCCGAGTCGTCCTCCCGGGCGCTAGCTGCAGCTTCTCGTCGTCTAATCGGCCTCGGCGCTGCCGCAGCAGCATCTTTTATGTACGTCTCCTCCGGCAAGATGCCAACTCCATCGACGCTGCCGCACGGGCGCGTCTCCTCCTAGTGTTTCTCGATGCCTCCGTGTGTCTCCTCTCCTCGTGCGTCGCCTCTCGCTCTGCGATCTGATGCATGGGTATATATAGGCCGTGGGGTAGGCTGCCGAGTGATGCCTCGCGAACGGTTGCTCCCTATTTTACTGGAGGAGATATGGATGCGTGGAGATGAAACGTCCCGATGTTTTAGCTTTGGCTCGTCCCAATCCTTTCTATCTGGCGGAGATGCTTATCTCTTCGACGGTTCTTCTTGACGTACAAATCTGCACACAAAACCAATTACCTGATACACCCCTCGTTCACGTGGCTGCTGGTAGGCCTGTTCCTCTCCAAACGTGTGAAGCTGAGTTCATGGGCCAGGCATATGGGTATTGAGATACTCGCGTATGCATACGCGGCCGGCTGGTGTAACCATATTTGATGTACTGTATATACGCCGGGTCCTAGGACCACGTACAACCCGGCCAGGTCACGCGCGTATGCACTGGCTGTACCAAGTCATGATCATGTGCTAGTACGCACGTAGGTAGTTTTGTCATGCATATGCACGTGTATGCATGGAACATGCAATATGGTCAATAGCCCATTAACCCTCACTTTCGATCTAAGCGCATGTACACGTGCAAGGGCACTCCTTGCTCCATGCGTTAAAAATGTATGTATATCATGTAGGCACATTATCATTAAGACAACTCTTTCTTTTTAGAATTATCTATTCCCATTATTTTTGTACTATATATAGTACAAAATCTCGTCGAACATGATCATTAGTGCCGGTTCCAACGGCTAGGCGGGCGGCACTCATTAGTACCGGTTCGTGGCGAACCTTTAGTACCGTTTCGTGCCATGAACCGGTACTAAAGAGGTGGTGGCCTTTAGTATGGGTTGGTGGCTCCAACCGGTAATAAAGACCCCCCCCTTTAGTACGGGTTCGTGCCACCAACCGGTACAAAAGGGGTGTGCTGCCACCTGCAGTGCACAATGTTTAGTCCCACCTTGCTAGTTGAGAGGAGCTCGCACCGCTTTATATGCCCCGCCGCGGCTACCGTGTAGAGCTCCTCTCTAAGCAGGCCTTTGTGGGCCTATTGCGAGTCTTCTGCCCTATGGGGCCTACTGGGCCATACGTGTCTGCATCCTGGCCCAACTAGAGGTTGAGTTTCTAGTCGTATGCAGGCCATGTCGGCCCAGTAGGTGGGCTATTTTTGCTTTATTTCAAAAAAAACTTTAGTACCGGTTGGTGTTACCAACCGGAACTGAAGGTCTCCCCGCCCCGGGCGCTAGCTCGTGCCACGTGGTGGCCCTTTAGTGGCGGTTCGTACTGCACCGGTACTAAGGGGAGGGGGGGCTTTAGTCTCCACCCTTTAGTGCCGGCACTAAAGGGCCTTATGAACCGGTAATACAGCCCGGTTCTGCACTAGTGTTTGTAGAAGAGGAGTGCACCACATGTTCGTACTAAAGTATATGTAATTTCTGGTGGTTAACATTAAACACACGTCACTGATGCTTGAACGAAACGGAAAATGTTGATTCTAAAGGAAAACAGAGCCCGTGCAAGATTTTTAATAGTCGTAAGCGCTACGAACAATCGGAAAGCCTAACTTATTTTAAACTTTAGGAAATAATATTCAAACTATAGTAGCACCAAATTGTATCCTGCAAAAAGGAAACAATTACACTAAGTTCAACAGTCACTCTCAAGTGATATTAAACATGCCGGCCAGATTATTTAGCAGAAGGTACATATGAGTAACTTATAAATACCAAATGAATTTCAAACACAAACAAAATATCACCAAGGGCGACAAAAGAAGCTGGCAGGGCAACACTTCGCCGAAATCATTACTAATTGGTAGCTGCCGGCTTGTAATCCATTATGAGCATCTTCTCCGCCAAAGCCAAGAATTCATCTACAAACTCTACATGTGATGGGTGTGCAATGTATTCCTTGACTCCCTCTGCGCTTTCAAAAGTGGACTCGAAGACGTGCGTGAACCCTTCGTGCGTGTCTAGCACGGTCACATCGGTTCCCCTGAATACCAAATAAAGAATAAACAATTGACATATGAACTTTGAGAAAAAAATAGAAAACAAGTTGAAACTTGTGAATGTCCCATGAGCGGTAACTCGTTTTCATGGTCGACACAACTTCAATAATGGATACATTGAGGGCATATTAACCGGCAGATACGAGTTTTACTGACAGTGTCAAGGGGTTTTTCAATTTATTATTATTGCACAATTAATAAATATGACCGCGTAAAGTTTATACTGTAAATTATAACATGATAAGCTAAACCACATGACATTGAATGTTCAAGATGCCACCACATGACATTTGTAGTACTATACTATTTATTTTTTGCAGGAATTGTACTACTCTAATTGAGAAAAGAAGTTCATGGGGATCACACATTGGGCACCTAAGGTTAAAGAAGTTGTTTGAGCAGAGCTGAGGTTGCCAGGTTGGTAAACTATAGCAACGTCCTTGTCCTTGAGATCCATTAGCTGAATTAAATTTTCTTGTTAGTTGTTTGTCCCACGAGCAGTAACTCATTTTCATGGTCGGTACGATTTAAACAATGGATACGTCAAACGGTATGAGTTGTTCTGACACTGACTGTCAAAAGATGTTTCAGTTCATTCTTACTGCGGAATGAATAAAATGTCACCGTGTAAACTTCATATTGTAAATAGGAACATGATAAGCTAAATGTGCAAGATGCCATGTCAAGATATTTGCGATATATTACCTAAGAAAGAAGATCATGGGGATCACATTGCACACCCTGGGTCTCAAGAAGTTATTAGAGGAGAGCTGGGGTTGGTGAATTATAGCACCAACTTTCTTCTTGAGATCCATTAGCTGAATTACATTTACATGTTAGTTTGAGTTTACTGATCGGAATACACTGGTTCCCCTGTTGGATCCAAGAAAAATAGCTCGTTGATAGTAGTCTATTACAGTAAATCTTACTCACTCCATCCCCGCACGCTCTTATATTATGGGACGGAGGGAGTAGTAAACAGGGAAGAAATAGTTTAAGGACCTACGTGACACCACTGTAATAGTATCGTGGGGTCGCATCCCCTTGCTCCTCGTCGACGGGGTCGCCGCCACGGGCCACGACACCAAGGAAGCCATGTTGCACGCCTTGTTCTACCCGCTTCTGGGGTTGCATGTTTGTAGTTTTGACCTCAACGCCTTTTATGAGGGGGCTCGTCGAGTTGGCTGCGACCACCTCGATGTCCGCCTTCTTCGACGAGGAAATCAGTAATTTTTTCGTTGGCGTGTAGATTGGGAGCAGCCCGAACCCTAATTGGCTCTGATTCAGCCCTCTACCGCACCTTCAAGCAAGAAGTTCTTCACTTGATGCTGATCTTGACGACATTATGGAACAGAGGGAGTACCACAAGACGGGGTACCAGTGCGATGCAGATTCTATCACACGTCGATTGTGCGTGAGGACGTCCACTCGTTACAATTGCCGCTTTGATAATTAAGTGCTACAGAAAATCAAAATGCAGAAATTATTTCAAATATTTATGAAGCTCCGAGAGTCTCACTTTGCACAAGGTACTCATTCTCAATGGATTTATTTTGCACAAGGTACATAACTTTTGACTACCAAGTGAAAATAAAAAGCAAACACAAACACAATAAATTATCACCGAGGGCGAGAACAGAAGCTCCGAGAGTCTCACTTTGCCGAAATCACTAATTGGTAGCTGCCGGCTTATAGTCCATTAGGAGCATTTTCTCTGCCAAAGCCAGGAATTCATCTACAAACTCTACATGTGATGGGTGTGCAATGTACTCCTTGACTCCCTTTGTATTTTCAAAAGTGGACTCGAAGACGTGCGTGAAACCCTCGTGCGTGTCTAGCACGGTCACATCGGTTCCCCAGAATACCAAACAAAGAATAAACAATTGACATATAAACTTTGAAAAAAAAATTGAACACGAGTTGAAACTTGTGAATGTCCCGCGAGTGGTAACTCGTTTTCAAGGTCGACACGATTTCAGCAATGGATACATTGAGGGCATATTAACCGGCAGATACGAGTTTTTCCGACATTGTCAAGGGGTGTTTCAATTTATTCTTATTGCAGAATTGATAAATATGACAGTGTAAAGTTTATACTGTAAATAATAACATCATAAGCTAAACCACATGAAGTTGAATGTTCAAGATGCCATGTCTGTAGAGCAGTTTCGTTTGTAGTACAATTACTAATTTCAAAAAGAAGTTCATGGGGATCACACATTGCGCACCTAAGGTTAAAGAAGTTGTTTGAGCAGAAATGAGGTTGGTAAACTATCTATAGCAACGGCTTTCTCGTTGAGATCCATATATTAGCTGAATTAAATTTTCTTGTTAATTAGTTTGACTCAACTGATCTGACTACACCGGTTCCCCCATTGGATCCAAGAAAAGCACCTCCTTTGCTACTTGAATCCATTCTATAAAACTAATCAAATGGCTTCCAAACTAATGGCCGCATGCATATGGAAGAATCACAGCCCAGAACAACAGCTACTGTGCGCAACAAGAACAACAGCTGACCAATGGGGCGAGGCAGGAGAGATGTACGACAGTATGCAATGCAAGGATTGACTGGGAGGATATATATATATTCACCAGTGGAATGCCTTCATGGAGGGGACGGCGTGGACGAGGCCGCCGTAGCGGCGGATGAGCTGGTCCAGCGCCTCCGGCATCGCCTCCTCCTTGAACCGCGCGAGGACGAGGTGCTTCACCATGCCGCCGCTCCCCGCAGCCGCGGCCATCGCTCTCTGCTCTGCTTCTTGCCGAGGCTGCCTCTGTCGGTGGTAGTATAGATCTTCTTATCCAACCACGCTTGTTTACAGTTGGCGTGGAGTATTATTGTGAGTGGTTGACAGTTGGCACTTCTTAAAGTGTCTCTAAATCATCACCTAACTTGCTCTATACGCGTCCAACCGTAGGGCCATACACATTAAGGGCTTCTTCAAAGTTCAAACAACTCTGAATCGTTTGGGTCGGACGGTCCGGACCAATTAATGTCATCCAACGTGGTACCTTATCGGTCTGCATACTGTCCGGACGTTTGTTTTTTTGTAAACCAAAGGCAAACTGTCAGGCTGGGGCGCTTTGCGGGAGTCTGGACCACCTCCACGTAATACTCCGACAAAAAGAACGTAGCAACGGCAAAACCAGAAGAAAAAAAAACTCCGTGGTGATAAGAAAAAACCCTACCCTAGCCGCCGCGGCGACTAGGGCTTACCTACTCCGGCGTCGTCCGTCGCCGTCGAGGTTTCCGATAACCTGCCTGCGCATTCCACCCATCCCACGCCAGCGCTTGGGCTGATCAAGGGGTCGGCCTTGTCCTTCCACCCGGCCTCGGTGCGGTGCGGCAATCTAGGGTTTAACTGCAGCCATGGCAGGGGCGACTTCTTCCAATGGAGGGGGGAGTACTAGTTCAAGTAGAAGGAAGGGGAAGACTCCGATCGACCTGGAAGCGGCGATGAGGAAAATGAAGCTGAAGGAGACGGAGTTGGATGACGTGATCGTTGGCGATGAGGAAATCGCAGAATTGTCGAAGGATGCCCGGTGGCTAGCTGTTGCGAGGGTAAACACGACGAAGTACTTCAGTGTCGAGTCCTTCAAGAACACAATGATTTTCGCATGGAGACTTGCCAACGAGCCAGAGATCCGCGAGGCAGATAACAATCTTTTCATCATCCAACTTTTCTGCCTAGGTGATTGGAACAGAGTTATGCACCAGGGTCCGTGGATCTATAGGGGACTTATGGTTGCAATTGAAGAGTACGATGGCAAAGGGAAACCAGATTTAGTTCAGCTCGACCGAGTCCATGTGTGGGTGCAGATTCATGATACCCCGGAGCTCTACAGGAAGGAGATTATTGTAGACCAACTGGCTCGTCGCATAGGCCAAGTGAAGAGCGTGGAGATGAACCCTAACCGAGTTTTTGAAGGCAACTATGTTAGGGTCCGGGCAAAGATTAAACTAGCTGATCCCTTGGTGCGTTTTGCCCCATTGAACATCAAGGGGGAAGGGCGAATTCTCTTGCCAGTAAAATATGAGAAGATAGGCTTCTTCTGCGAAGTCTGTGGCGTCCTAGGCCACTCCATGGAGGAGTGCGGCGATGGGGTTCACAGCCCCGAGGAGGTTGAATACGGCGAGTGGATGAAAGCCACTCGGAGACCCATGCCGGAGAGCCAGAACCGTGACCCGAGCTGGAACAGGGGGAACTCCACACGAGGACGTGGACGTGCCCGTGGAGGCGGCCGTGGAAGGAACAATGGAGCCAAGAAACGGTCATCGGAGGAGGCCGGTCTAGGGGAGGAAGTTGACAGAGATGTTGATGAGGATCTCAAGGACACGGCGGAGAGCCCTCTCAAGGACAATGGTGATGATGCAGGGACTGTCCGTCCCCAAACCTCGGTTATTCGCAAGCTGAACATGGATGAGCAGGCTGCTGAGATCATCAGGGGTGGCACGCTGAATGCATCCATGCAGGGGGCCATTGTTGTCCCTCCTCCTCCACCACCTTACGTCACCCCAAGGGACAGAAAGAAGCAAAAGCATGGTAGTTCCCCAAACAAAAGCAATATGGATAGCGTGGCGGGCTCCTCTGAGGAGCGCCGCCGGGTCCAATGAGTCTCTCATGTTGGAACTGTCGCGGGGCGGGCAAACCCGCGATAGTTCGAGAGCTTCGCGATTTCGCGAGGCAGTTTGCCCCGTTGGTGCTTTGTATAGTTGAAACTCAACTCCCTAGAGATAGAGTGGAAAACTTGGCAAGCACCCTAGGTTATGATAATGCATTTGCTGTTAGTAGCTCTGGTAGGAGTGATGGTCTCGGTATTTTTTGGAATAATGAAATAAAGATAGAAAATTTTGGTTACTCTGCTTATCACATAGATGCTCATGTTACTTTGCCTGGTGCTCCACCATGGCGGCTCACAATGATGTACGGCGAAGCACAAGTCAGTGATAGAGGCAAGATTTGGGACGTGTTGAGATCTCTCGCTGAGGATAATGATCTGCCATGGTTATGCTTTGGTGATTTCAATGAAGTACTGAGCCTGAATGAACATGACGGAGTTGGTCATCGGTGCATGACACAGGTGAATGGTTTTAGGGATGCTGTTGACACATGTGGCCTTATTGATCTAGGCTTCTCGGGAAACAACTGGACTTTCGAGAAGAGAGTAGCCGGAGGTACATACACGCGAGTGCACCTTGATAGGGCACTTGCCACCCCATCGTGGTTCAGCATGTATCCAGGAGCCGTTTTGTCTCACAAGTCTGCCACCACATCGGATCATATACCGATTTTGCTACAACTTTCACCGGCAGATGATTAGCCACGACAAGCTAGACCTTTCAGATATGAGATGATGTGGGAATCTCATGAGGGTTTTCAGGCGACCATTGAGCAACACTGGTAAGGCCCAGGAGCAACCACGGTTGCGAAATTGTGTGCAAAAATAAAAACGCTGTCAACAAATCTGAAATGTTGGGACCGAACTACGTTTGGCAGTGTGAAGGAGGAGATCTGATTCCTAAAGCTTCAGCTAGAGAGCATGCGTGCGGACCCGTCGAGGACGGCACCTACTCGTCAGGAGGAGAAAGTTAAAGATCGCCTGATCGAGCTCTATCACAGAGAAGAGGTCATGTGGCGTCAAAGATCGCGAATAACATGGCTGGCGGCGGGCGACAAGAACACCAAGTTCTTTCACCTACGGGCCAGCAGGCGGCGCCTTAAGAACAAGATAAAATGTTTGCTAAGACATGATGGTACTACAATAGAAGATGCAACAGAGATGGAGTGTATGGTCACGGCCTTCTACAAAAATCTGTTCACATCAGAGGGGACAACGAATATGCATGAAGTGATTGACGTGGTTCCCCACAAAGTTACTAACGAGATGAACCAGCGGCTGATGAGCGAGTACAGCAGAGAGGAAATTAAAACAGCGCTATTCCAGATGGCCCCTACTAAAGCTCCAGGATCTGATGGGTTCCCGGTGCATTTTTTTCAGAGACATTGGGAGCTCTGTGGGGATGAAGTGTGTACTATCATTCTAAAAATCTTGAGAGGTGAGGAAGAAGTGGAGGAGCTGAATGATACTATCCTAGTCCTCATCCCCAAGGTAACAAATCCCACACTTTTGTCACAGTTCCGCCCTATAAGTCTATGTAATGTACTCTACAAGATTGCATCGAAAGTTATGGCAAGCAGGCTCAAGTCCATTCTTCCTATGATCATATCGGAGGAGCAATCGACCTTTGTGGCGGGAAGGCTGATCACGGATAACATCATCTCCGCGTATGAGTGTTTAAATTTTATGAAGAGGAATAGATCAAAGAGGAATGGGTTTTGTGCTCTTAAACTTGACATGATGAAGGCCTATGACCGTTTGGAATGGGACTACCTCCGTGCGATCATATCTAAACTGGGTTTTGCACCGGCTTGGGTCAACTCAGTTATGAGGATGGTATGTTCAGTCAAGTTCTTGGTTATGTTCAATGGAAAGAAACTTGAGAAATTTACACCTTCACTAGGACTCCGATAGGGGGATCCAATATCACCTTACCTTTTCTTGCTGGCAGTAGAGGGCCTTTCGAGCCTTTTAAAAAAACCAGACAGAGTCATCTCCGGTGCATGGGATCAAAGTGGCAGACACGGCTCCACCGGTAAGCCACCTTCTTTTCGCAGATGACAGCCTGCTGTTCGTCAAGGCTAGTGTTGAGGGGGCTATTCAGGTATCCTCTTTGTTGGAATCATACTGCAATGCTTCTGGACAGAAAATAAACTTGGATAAATCTTCAGTGTTTTTTAGCAAGGGCTGCTCACAGGGTGTTAAAGAGAGCATGAAAACTACCCTGAATGTTCACAATGAGAGTCTATCAGAGAAGTACCTGGGCATGCCTACGGATGTCGGGAGTAGTAAAAACGGGGCCTTCAAATATTTGAAGGATAGAGTTTGGAACAAAGTCAAGGGATGGATGGAAAAGGTGTTGTCATCCGGAGGAAAAGAGGTACTTATAAAGTCTGTAGCTCAATCTATCCCGGTTTACTCTATGGCTTGTTTCAAGCTACCCCGGGGCCTCTGTCTTCACATTAACTCCATCATACGTAAATTCTGGTGGGGGAGTAAACGGGGCGAAAGGAAGACAAATTGGGTCTCCTGGGAGAAGATGGCAAGGCCGAAATATGAAGGTGGACTGGATTTTCGGGACATTGAGCTATTTAACCTTGCTTTGCTGGCAAGACAAGCGTGGAGAATCCTATAAACACCTGAATCACTAAGTGCAAAAATTCTGAAAGCGCGTTACTTCCCAACTACAGACTTTCTTGATGGTTCACTAGGTAACCAACCATCTGAAATATGGCGAGCAATCGTGGAGGGCAAGGAGATCCTCTCGCAGGGTCTTATCAAACGCATAGGTGATGGTCAGGATACTTTGATATGGCAGCATAACTGGGTACAAAAAGAGGCGTCGCTCAGACCAATAGTTTGCTTGAGTCAACATCGGCCACAGTTTGTGTCCGAGCTCATTGACAGCGCAAATGCCAGGTGGAAGCAGGACGTAGTTCGTGCAACTTTCCTCCCAATTGATGCGGAAGTGATCCTTAATATTCCTCTAGCCACAAGACACTTCAGAGATTCTTGGGCTTGGGCTCAGGAACACAAGGGCTCCTTCTCCGTTCGCTCGGCATATCGGATGCTCATCAACACGAAGCTAAGGCGGGAGGCTTGGCTCGAAGGACGTTCATGC